AGGATACTGGCACCCCAGTCAGGGCCTCACTCCAGCAAAGAGGTCATTACCATGTGACAGGAGCCCAGCACACACACCATGGTTTATGCATGCCAGGATTATCACCAAAAAGGCAAAACTGCACGTCACTTTCCCTTGGCAAAAACGTTTTAAAACATGGGGATATGCTAAGTTGCTGCATGATTTCAGTTAGCTTCTCACAAACTCCCTGTTAATGATGTGACGGTAAAGGAGGTAGGTCACAAGCATGCTCCTCCTCTTCTTCTCCTCACAATGCTTTCTGGGGTTAAAATTATGTTCACAGTGTATAAGCAAAAGTATCCAAATGGTAAAAGTTGCAAAAACAAAAGCTGCAAGAATGGTGGCTGCGTTTTCCTGAGGGAGGAGCACACACAGGCTCTTCCTTTAGTACACAGAGGCCAGAAAAGTGAGAGAAACCAGGCTACCAGCTAACAATGAGTTATAACAATGCATTTCTCTGGGGTTTTTTCTATGCCAGGGACCAAGGCACAGACAACCTAAATACTCAAACCAGGACATGGTTCTATAGTGTAGCAGTTAGCACGTCTGCTTTACATGCAGAAGGTCCTGGGTTCAACCCCAGTGGAGCCACGGTCCATGGTTTACGGCCGTGCCACCCTGAGCAAGCCCGAAGTCTGATCTCAGAAGCTAAGCAGGGTTGGGCCTGGTTAGTACTTAGATGGGAGACCACCTAGGAAGACCAGGTGCTACAGGCATAAACAATAAAAAAATAAATAAATACTCAAATCAACTTTCATGAGGCAGGTACTCTCATACCACCATTTTACAGATAAGAAAAATGAAACTCAGAGAGGTTAAGTAATGCAACAAGTACATGTCTAACCCAAGAGAAACTCAGACTTCAAGTTCTGCCCATTAACCACTAAACAAAAAAGTCTCCTGCCTTCCACCCTGCCTCCACCACCCTAACGCCCTAACTGACTTCTTTAGCAGGCTCCATTTTCCCCACGCCCATTGTTCTATATATTATTATAGGACCTGTATAGTCTTTGGTCTTTTTTCTGTTTCATTTTTTAACTTCTTCAAAAAATTTAGTGATTATTAATAGTAATCAATCATACCAACAACCCACTTAAAACATATGAGATCCTACCCGGTTTGTGCTATGAAAAAAATCAACTTTCACATGTGTAGTAATTTTCCCCCTTCACTATGTTACATCAAATGAGGATTCCAAACAAATTGTCAGCACTCAAGTGATAGGCTTCTTTCTACTCAGTGGTAATTTCTCCTCTTCACTATCTAAAGTCCTTCAAGGTCTTCCTTTCTTCTTCCATTCACTGGGTATGTCTGGGGACCCAGACTTAAAGGTCACTAATCTGCTCAGACAGAATCAAATTGGATAAAACCTGACAAACAAAATGATTTGGCAAATACGAAAACAAAAATTTCAGTTAAAAATTAGACAAAGCTTGAAATGGTTATCTGAAATAAAGTGAAAAAAAAATTTTTTTAACATTTTTCTTCTGCACAGTCTAATTTCACTTTACTTAGGCATTTGAAAAGTCAGTGAGTTTAGACATACAACAAACCTGCCACCCTACAGAGAGAGATAGCTTTCCACTGGATACTGATGCAGTCTGACAAAAGTATGCTCCGTTTCTTACAAAGTCACTCATCCAGGATGCTTTTAAGTGATAGGTTCTCTCCCAATTAAAATATGGTTTGACTTAACAAGCCACATTTCAGGAAGGAAGGAGACTGAAACATTTCCACCAGAGGGCGCTATCCTCACTGAAAGTAATAAATACAGTATTCCTCATTTAAAGCGCTTTGCACTCTAACCAGCCCCAAATAAATTTTTTCTTTAGAGCTTTTACAATGAACAACGTAATTGTCTTCAAATCTAACATTCTATAATTAAATAAAATATAAAACGTTTCTTTCCACAAATAATAAGAATAAGCATTTAGTTATAGCTTATTAAGTACCAGGCATGGATATATAAACTAATATAATCTCCTCATACTATATAGGATGAGGATGGATATAAAACCCATCCTATTTTACATATGGGAAACTGAGGCACAATTAAGTATCTGTACAAGGTCACCAACTTAGTAATGGGCAGAGCCAGTATTCAAATTCGACAGCCTGACCCCCAAGTCCATGTAACCAACTTACAGAAAAACATGGAATCCCAATAAAAAAATAAAAGATTTATTGCTGAATGTATTTAGCTATGTCATTGATCATATTATGGCTCTAGAAATACATAAAATTAGCTTATAAACGGTACGAATTCTATCACCTGAAACTGTCGTTAAGTGTATTTTGACCTCATTTCCATAAATACATAAATACCTCCCAGTAAAGAAGGCATACCACTTAAGTTCACTTATTTGTCAGCTATATTCCATTGAAAAGACCAAAGTTCTAGATTTAAGAAGCAGGAGGAGAAGCATCTGTTCTGGTTAAAGGGTAAAAAGAAAGAAAATGCAGTTGATGTAAAACAGACAGAGATTTTGAATCATATTCAAAACACTGACTTTGTGTGTGTGTGTGTGTGTGTGTGTGTGTGTGTGTGTGTGTGTGTGTGCTGATATATATAAGCAAAAGCACCCAAACATGAAGACATAGGTATATTATATATAACACATAGAAATACCAATATATACCTATGGTTTCTAAAATAATGAAAATAAACACCATATTCTAAACCTTAAAAAAAAAGGAAAAGAATCGATAATAAAGAGTAAAAACTATAAGATCTATAGCTTAAAATAAAATGTTCTGAGTAAATCATTTATTATTAGGACCATATTGTGACTCTTTAAATTATTCCCATCTTTGGAGCTTACTTTTCATTCCCAGTTATATTTCCATCTATGGGACACATCTGTGATTTTCTATAGGTAAGAAGCACAGTTTGTAATGGGCAAATACTCAAATACTATTGGAAAAACACCAGAATGCATGTCTTGAGAAATTTGCTGCCCAAATTTCTTAGAAATCTGGAAAGTAAGGTATTTTATTCAGATTACAACTTCTTTAGATACACTTTACCAGCAATTGGGCTGTGGTGTGGTGTGGTGTGATGTGAATTGAATGCGTATAACAGATTCATATGTGCCTTCAATATCAAATTTCAAGCATTTAAGGTTCTTTTTTTAGCTAATCTCCTTTCTACTCGTTGCATAATTTAAAAAAATTAACTCCAGTGTTTTGTGTACTAGCAACACACTAGTATCTAAATATCCATCAGGTGGGGACTAGTTAAATAAACCATAGAATACCAACACGTTGGGCTATTAGGCAATTTTTTAAAAAGAATGAAGCAGCTCTTTATGTACGGATATAGAAGTGGAGAAAGCAAAGTGTGGGTACAATGCCGTGGGTATAGTATACTAGCATCTGTATGAAGAAACACATACACATTACTGAAAACACTGGTTGACTCCAGGCAAAATATAAGGGACAGAGGAGTGGGGATCAGAGGAAGACTTATTTTTTGAACACCTCTTTGAAAAAGTGTTTCAATTTTTTTAGGCAGGTCCATAAAAAATGTTTTCCAATTATAATTGATTACAAAGTTAAAGTTAATACTTTAATAGTCAGTTTTTAAATTTTTTAATGAAAATCGAATGGTTAAAGTAACCATGAAACTGATGCTACCTAATTTGTGGTTTCTTTACTATATTTACATCTGCTTTCTACTTGAGCCCTTATATACTGGAGAAAAATGACTCGTGGGAAGTTTTGGGTTACCAGACCTGGTAGAAGCACTGATAACATTTTCTTTGATCTGCCCTTTAGACAAGGAACACAACAGAGGTTATTCCAAGTCATTTGTTTTTTAGATATATTTTATATCTGCAAGCTTTAAAATGGTAGGTCTAGACTTCCTGGAAGAACAGACAATATGTTTGCTTGAAGCTGACTTGAGGTCTACTTAAGTTTATATTCACTTTGACTAAGCCACAGTATGAGGGAAGAGTGTCTAGTAAAAAAGCTTCCATTTTCATCCTGCTCATTCTTGGAAATCCAATAGGAGATTCTTTCTACTCTCTAAAATTAACTATTCTGTGTATAAAGCCGTATCTAAATATTTGATTTAAAAGGAAATGTTATCTGAAAATAGTACCATCTCTTATAAAACTTTAAAATTGGCCCACTCATTTTTAGCCTTTGGGGCCAGGGGGGAAATGACTACAACAAAAGCTGATTCGTTCTGTTGTTCTCAAGTATTAATTCATATCTGATTATCTCTACCAGGCAGAATTTTAGTTCTTTTGAAGTAAAGGCAATTACCAGAAAATAACCTCTTCCCAAGTCTAAAATCATACTTCAACATTCTAAATGAAGTGACAAATGAGTTGTACAACCCAGGACAGGTATGGGGAGAAGCCACTTGAGGATTATGTAATGGTGGGACACATTCTAAAATCAAACCAATCTAGGTTCAAACTCCAGCTCAGCTACCCACAAGCTGTGTGACTCTGAGAAAGTTTACACATGGGAATATTGTTACTTCTTGTAGAGTTGTTGTGAGGATTTAATGAGATAAAGCAAGAAAAGGCAAGACAAAGCAAGAAAACACACACCTTGTATCCATCACACATTATGCAAAAAAAAGAAGGAAAGGGATTTGAGGCCAGAATTGCACCCTTTGGCAGTGTTCAGGGGCCAAATTCACAGAAAGGGGCTATGTGCCCTACTTGCTTTAGTCTGGATGAAGACAGGAGGCCTATGCGATTTCTCAAAGAACCTCAATGAAGGCAAATGGAAGGGATGCCAGAACTATAGTGTGAACCCTAGGTAGCCTATCATGCACTTCACAGCAAAGAGGTCAAGAAAAGAAGGCAAATGCTAGTGGAAAGGTAGTGCAGGCAAGAGGGAGGAAAAAGTACCGCCTGGGTGCACGGATAGGCACCAAGGCAGCCAGAGCTGCTTCTGAGCCCCACAGCCCCTTGATTAAACAATTGTTTATTCAAGTCCAAGTCAAAGTTTGGGCTTACCGAGATTTGGCTGAGACATGGCCATGGGCCTCTGGGGTGCTGGTGTAGAAGTGGCAGCAGGGTGGAGGTTCATATGATTCAAGGGCTGATTCATCGCCTTCCTAGGGTCTTGCCACGTGGTGATTTTTTCTATGTGACTAAAAGAAGGAAAACAATTATCTCTTTAATCGTCAGCATCATTATCATTATTGCCATCACCAATAACAGAACAACAGTTAAATGACTTTGGCTCTTCTTCCTATAGGATCTGCTTACAAGCAGCTGACACATTGTATTTGTTTTCATCCAAGGTCAGGTCACTTACCTTCCATCCAAACTGGGTCACATTGGGGGCTGTGCAGGTGACTCTCTGAACACAAACCCATGACTTGGCTGTCCCAGCTGCCCCCACATGGTTTTCTGTCTTAGCAGGGCAGATGAGCCCTAGCACACCCCCGCCCGCAGCCCAAAGGGCCCACGTTCCCTGGCTCCTCAAATACTTCATCACCATCCAGTCACTGCAACACCACCTGTGAACTCCTCTCCAGAAGCAGGGTCGGCCAGCCCTCCCACACTCTCGAGGCTCACGTAATTGACATAATGAGGACACCTCCACCTGTCTGGAGCCACAGATGAGGCCCTTGAAACTAATCTCATAAATATGACATTACTGAACTTTTACTAAAGGTAAGGCACGGTGAGGTCCACATAGGTAATATATAAAACCTTCAGGTAGCTTATGCTCTACCATGCAAAGTAACAACTGTGTAGCTGGAGAATGAGTAGGTGAAATAAGTGAGGGGAGGCAGGCATGCCAAGATTATAGAAAAACCTAGGTACTGAGGCATGAAGGCTTTTGAAGGAAAAGACATGATTAGACTTTTGGTCATATACAACTTCCAGTATTTGTTATTATGACTTAATCTCAGAGAAACTAGCACAACATAAGCTTCTGCGCAGAGTGTCCAATATGTGCTTAGAAGGATGGACCGGACTTCCAGCTTTGCCTACCACAACCAGCTTTGCCTCCAAACCACATCACAACTTCTTCCAGGCACCTTATGAACTCTAGGAGCTCTTCACCTTTTTTTGAGAGTTACGTTTTCTTTTAAAGATGAGCATATTCACCTAGTGCCACAACCTTGTTTTAGGAACTGTATCAGAGATCCTTCTATATTTAGCAAAGACAACAAACTAAACGCCAGCCCTTCTTTCTAGGCCTTACAACTAGGCTTGCCTCTCCCAAACCAGTTGGCAATGTCCACCCGCAGGCACCACTGATCCTCCTAGATCCACATGAAAGGAGCTTAATTGCTCTGTTACACACACCTAAATTCTGAATGACAATGGCTCTTTTGGAAACCACTATTACTATTGTTAACTGAAGTTGTATTTATCTTTTCTTTTGCTTCTGTTTCTTCACATTTGAATAATGCCACTGCTAAAATTCTTCTTTAGGTTTCTTCATTCCAGACTGGAAGTTCCACCATGGGGAACTCATCAATTGCAGTGACTGAAAACTTGGACGCTGTCCCAAAAGGGCCTTTAATAAGTATGAATTTATTTAAAAAAAAAAAGGGGGGGGGAGGAGGTGGTTAACCTCAGTAAAGAAGGCAAAATTAGGTTGACCTGTTGAGTTTCACAACAGTCTTTTTAAAATCATCAAAAATGAACTGGGAGGAATAAAATCAAAGAACCAAAACTACCCCGTTAAGAAGAAACAAACAGAGTGGGGAAAGACTGAACTTAAGAGATCAGAATTAATTACCTAAGCATAAAAAAAATGAAAACGAAACAACGGTCTTAGTTACACCTTTAGTTTAACAATTGTATTTCTGTTTAAAACTTTCATAAAATCTTTCTGTCAACTTTTGGTCCTGTGGAAAATCATAGATAACCAGCCCCAGGGGGTTTATCACAGGCCTTCAGTGAGGAAACAATTAATGAGGATGTCTCAGTTAAGTAAACTAGCTTTAGCAAGGTAATTAGAGCTAAGAAACTCTTTGACTAACTCTTCCTTCACCCAGCTATTAAAACTTGTTTTCCAAGGTAGGCATGTCCTGCATAAATACTTTCCACTATGGAACCAGAAAGGGATGAATTCTTCTCTCTTTCATGAGCCTTTCTTAGACCCTCTGATACTATGGATACTGACGCTGTGCTAGAACCAGAATGAGCACACCCCAGTGAGGTGAAGTGATATACAAGGTATGGTAGAAGACATTTAAGGACACTGCTGTGGTCAGACACTCAGCTACCAGTCAGTGGTAGGAATAATACAGGAGCTGGAGTGATACATTCCTAAATCTGCCATTCCGCTATTCGGCCATTCAGGACAAGTGGGCTGTGACTCCTGGATCTGGGGAGGGCAGAAAGACCCACACCCCAAGTGGTAGATGAACCCCACTTGCCTACAGGCTGCCATGCTGGCCAGCCTCCATCCCCTGGGACAGAGCGAAGGGCTTTCTGGACAGACACTCCAGCCCTCATTCCAATAGGTCTGACTCTAGAGATGTACAACCCAGCCCTGGCTTCAAGTCTCAGAACTCCCCCAGGACCGTGGGAGCCTCCGCAGCCCACTGTTGAAACTCTACACTCAGCCAAGGCTATTAAAGGAGTTTTGTTCCCAGCGGATTTGTTAATTAAAAGTGTCATTCACTGTATTCCCCAAAGACTTGAGTACAAGAGAGAGCCTTTCTTAAGTGACCAGTTCTCATTGCTCTGAAACAACTCTTGAGAAGAAAGCCTCAATTCCCAGCCTCTGCAGACCCGTCCACAGGACATTAGCCCTGCTTATAGATGTCCAGAGTGGCTCCCCGTCCGAATGCCAAATGCAAGAGCATTACTCACAAGAACTTAATATATCACTGATGATATGATTTGAATCGCTGATGATTTGATCTGAAAACTAAATTCTCCTATTGTTGAAATCATTTAGCACCCCTGACCCTATTCTCAAATGTAGGATAAGCCATTCACTCTTTCATGCTGCTGTCTCATTTCTGCTCCCTCTCTCAGAGTTACTGAGTCATTTCCTTTCTCATATTTCTCAGTGTAACCTTACTGTTTGCCAGGGCCCACAGTTCAGCTAGATGAATCCCCACTTCCCTACTACTCCCACCCCCTTCCTGATTTCTCTCCCTTGCTGAATCTACTTCAAGAAAATGTCTCTGCCATCTTTAAAAATCTAATTTCTCTTGGAAATTTATATACGTATTAAATCTGCCTATATATGTGTGTTCTACTAATGCATATTATGTGTAGTTTTCATATTTGAAAATGAAACAAAAAAGGAAAAAAGATACCAAACTATTTATAGTGATATATGCAATAGGCTCACTGGTGCTTTTTTTCTTCCCTCTTTATCTAAACTATTCTGTACTTTCCAGGTTTTTAACAGTGACTAGGTATCGTTTTCATAACCAATAAAAACAAAAATTCTCATGAAGGTATAACAAGACAAAAAGGAAAATGATGTGTGGATACGCAGAGCATAGGGTGCCAAAGTTATTGAGGATAAACTGCAGATTTGGCTCATGTCTTCGTGTGGCCAAAGTAAGAAGGGAAATGGAATGAATTACCTGGCCCCATGTTGCTTATAAAGACAAAAAAAGACTGCCAGTTCCCAAGGGAAAGAAAAACTGACACCAAAATAATTTTTTTTTCCTGTACTAAAATAAAAATGTCTGCAGGGTTTCACTTGGAGGCCCTGGGTGGTGTGTAGTGGAAACAGTGCCTGTAACAAAGATAACAGAGAGGTTTTTTTCCTTTTCCTTTGAGGGTCCCTCTGACCACTACTTTCCAGATTGCCTTCTTCTTTCACAGTCAAGAAAGAACAATCGACTCCTTACCTCTACATCAGGAGTATCTGCTTAGAGAATTGCCCAAGTGGGAAAAGAGCTTCGGATCCCAGGACCTGCAGTTTGCCCAGAGGCAAAAAAGTAGGCACTTCTCTGAAAGGATATTTGTCTGAAAATGGTAGCTGATAGAAAACTGTGTTGTATAAAATAATTTTTCTTTCTTAGATTAATGTGTTCTTCAATACAGACAAACTCAGAAAGCCATTTTATTTATTAGAAAAATTCTGTGTTTGGGGTTAAAATGTCAGCAGAGGAGGTGGGGTAGCATGACCACCCTCCCTGACACCAAGCTCTCTTTGCCTGGCCCCTCCCATCAGCCTCCAGGGAATTGTTAATTTAGCTCCTATATCCTCTTTGCCAGCCTCCTGTATGACCTTTCACCTCGATGAGTGCAATGGCCTCCAAGCTTCCCTCCCTCTATTCTTTCTGGTTTTCCTCCCCACCCGCCATCTCTTCCCCAGCCTCTCTATCTGACAATCCATTCTCTACCCCATCTCCAGACTCTCATCCCAAGGACAGCTGGGATCCAAGTCTCCCCTGGGCCTTTAGTCCTCACTGCCCATGAAATAAAAGTATTATTCACATAGGCATCTTCCAGACAGACAGCCTGCTATGGGCTCTGGAGTCACACATACCTGAGTTTTAATGCTAGCTCTGAACCTGTGTGACCTAACTGGACATGCCATTTAACCCATCCTATTCTCAGCACCTGTATCCACGAATCAGGGTTAAAAAACACAAAACAAAACAAAACAAACAAACAAAAAACTAACTAACATGCTGGTTCCTTGTTATGAGGGTAAAACAGGTCCGTTCTGGGAAAATTACAACCACCAAAGTCACCTACAGATTTGTCAGCCCGTTCACTGGGTTTTCCAAGTTCCCTTCTTCAGCAGTGAATGCATGGACAGCAGCTCCAGCCTTCCCAAGGCTGGCAATAGTTGGTTCAAGTTTATTCAACAAGCATGGATTGTACACCTATTGTGCATGATGTACAAGGTAGATATAAAAAAGAAAAGCATTTTATAAATATAAAATCCTGACTAAGAGCTAAACCATTAAAGACAAAGATAAAATCTTATCTGTAAAAATAGAATCCACTGCCTTACAGCCCAGGAAAAGCCTAGTGTTTTTGGATGAATTTACCCTCCAGTTCATGACCTATTGCACAAACTTTATGGAAGGAAGCCACACAACAAAGACTTTCTGAAATAGAGTAGGCCTATGCAATACATTTTGTATTGCTGGAAGCATACAAAAAAATAAAAATAGGAATGATTATGAGTGCTTAATTTTGA